AATTCCAAAATGATAAGTTCCTTGTTTGAAAACTTTATTCTCAAATAATAGATACATAGTTTATCCCTTCATTACTTTTAGATAACATACTACACAGCAAAATTTTATAATTGATATGAATTTGAATATGTAGCTAAAAACAGAATAGCTGGATTCTAGTTGAACTTATTCTTTCAAAACTAAAAAATACTTACCAAGAAAACGATTAAAATTAATTAAGAATCAGCACAAATGGCACTATTTGAAGTAACTTGGATAATTTTTTATTGATGTTTTCCGATGTGTTTTGGATGTTCCTTCTCTAAAAAAAAGAGATACCATTTTGTTTTCGTTTGCATAAGAAAGGATATTAAACATTTTTCTTTTTTAAATTTAATTAGCCACGATTAAGAAGGAACGTTGCAATGCTACACGCTACATTAAAGACGTCTCTAGAGTAAATGAATGACTGTTCATATAGAAATCGCAGGTATTAGTCTCATACAACAACGCCCCCTATAGTTCGTTGCGATCGCGAATTCCTTTTTTTTTTTTTGAGTTGCAAGTACACAATTGCGCTGTTATTGTTGAATTTAAAAGCGTTGGATTTATATCGCTCTTCAGTAACGCACACTTTAAAGGTTGGGTTAAGCTAAGAACGTGTTCTATTAAAACTAACAAATCTTATTTGATAAAGTAAAAAAAGAAGTAAAAAAATAAACAAAGAATATGTCTTTACTGAACTAAGTATAAAAGATATTTGGATATTTCTTGGTTGGTAATTTAGTTTAAATTTTTCTGAATTAGAATAAGGGATAAAAATCTATAACAAATTGATTTGATTAATATGTAATTACACAAGAGATTCAAAATAATGTGAGTTGCATAAAAACTTAGAAATGTTAAAAACTTATGTTAGAAACTTATGATAATGTTAGAAACTTATGTTAAATGTTAAATTTTTTTTATTGACTGAAAATTTGACGCGGTTTAAGTTAGGGACTTTTCGGTTAGTCGGGGGCAAGGAAATTGAACTAAATTTTTATTTATTTAATTTTTATTTATGTAATATTTATTTATTTAATTTATATTTAATTTTATTTTAATTAATTTTAATTTAATTTTCATGTGCTTAAAAAAATGAATTAAATAAAAATAAATTGGCGGAGGTCTACATTTTTTGACAGCTTTTCGCTTTAGCTCTTGTTAAATGTCATGTATCTGAATGTGTTGCGTCGCCATGTAAAGATAGCTCGCCAATTTGGCGAGCGCTTCTTAATGTTTGTGTTTATAATTAATTACATACTTCGTTCGTTCCTCGGTGAGGATGTGTTATATTGAGCATCTTCTGATAAAAAATTTCGATATCAACTAAAATATAACGTTTTTTCGTTTGTTGAGGACATTCTACGGTGTATTGTCCTTTATTAAAACCAATCGTTAAACTTACAGTCCATTCATATATAATCATAAACAGCTCTGCTAACCGAAAAGTACCGAAAGTATTATAAATAGTCTTATTTTTTCTAAAAATATAAGTTTATCAATATTATGATAGAAACTATATAGTGAAGCTATGAAATAACGTGTTAGATACGTAAAAATATATTAAATGTTAAAAAATTAAGATTATTTAAATGTTAAAAAATGAATATTCAAGTTCATACAAATACCTAAATAAATAAAAAATAATAAAAAATAATAAAAAATAAATAAAAAATTCATACAATACCATTTCATATAATACTATATATTAATCATTTTTTTTTTTTTTTGAAAATTCAATAGGTGCTAATTTTAAAAAATCCTGTAGTAATTAACAAATAAAAAATAAAAATGTAAGTTAATAAATCAAATAGTATAATTTTTTAGAAAGTCATTACAAGCTTAATTGCGTTCAATTAACCTGTGCAATCAATCAATAATTTTGTTTAAGAATTGAGTACTCATTTCAAAACGTAATATATTTTTTGAAGGTCTATTTTTATTGGTTTATTTTCAGTTTAATTTTTTTGCCAATCCATAAATTATTTGAAACAATTTTTTTAAAAATATATTTAGACTAATTCGTAAGTACTTCAAAGAATAAATAAATAAAGACCTTTAGAGTATGCATAGTATTATTTTATTACTGACAAAACATATATGGTATAAATATTTCATCTTTCACTTCAAAAAATGGCTTAAGTTCCTTTACATTTGCGAATATTTTATTTAAACTTATTATTTATTATTTATCGAAATATAACTTGTTATTTCCGTAAAACATTATGAAATATTATGAAGTAAAATATTAGTAAAATTACATTAAACAATAATAGTTTTAGAAATAAATATTTTTAGTTTTTAAAATTATCTCTTCCTTTGTATAATTTTATTTTTTAAACTATATAACATAAAATGATAATGGCCTAAAACCGTTTTTTGTTGCTGTCGGTTAACTCTTATTGGTCAAAATAACCATATAATGTATTCTTATTCAACAAAAAGGATCAGAAAATCTTTTATTAGCTCAACATTAAAAATAATTGTAACAGTATTTATGGATAAATTATTTATCTCTCTTATTCAACGGTATTTTCATTATGCTGTATTTTATTTTTAGTGCTTTTAAATATTCATTTGAAGTTATATTCGCATATGTTACTCTGTCTACATTAAACTTAACCATTTTAACTTTTTGATTTTTATTTAAAGGCTTAAAACTATGTTTTTTTAATAAATTATGAAGAACATTGATTTTGCTCCTTAATCCTTGGCATTCGTTCAACCAACGTAAGCAACTAAAAAAATGAATACAAATGAATTAAAAGTCGGAATTAATTATTCCTTTCATTGCTAAACATTTAGCAAGTTTTCTAGTAACCAAAAGTTAAATAAAAAATTAAAAGACAAGTTTAAAGAAGAAATTGCTATGATAACTGAATAAACTTCAAACTTTGCAATTATCAAAATGGAAACTAACTGTAGTATCAATTCTGTAGTAATAAAAAAATAGGGGGAAAAACACACTTAATAACAACTTATTTTTGACTTTTAACTTTAATTTTTGTTGTACCAATCTGTCTATTGTCAAGAAAACAAAAAAATATTGCAAAATAATCGAAGGGGGAGGGGGTGAGAGAAGCGTGCAGGAAGCAGGTCCCTCCATTAAAATCCAAATTTATATAAAAATAGAAAATTTATTTTGCAATTAAATTTGGGAAAAAGAAATGATTTTTTTTTAAATGGAACTGAAAATTACTCTATTAAGAAATATTTGGTTTACATTTCGTATTATGTCCAGTGCCAAAACATAAAATCCTTTTTATCTCAAAGCTTGCTTGCTTATGATACAGGAAAAAAAAACAAATTTTTATTGCATGCTTATTACATCGATATTTGTTTAATAATTTAAAATCTTATGCAAAATGCAACTTTAACTATCCATCAAAATAAAATCAAAATCAGAATATTGAAAATAGATACCATAAATACCTGTCCGATGGTTAATATCTGGTACAGAAAAGCCGATACTGAACAAGAAACAAAATAAAATTTCAAAAAGCAATGAATCCATCTTCAATGTGAGGATGCGTGGTCACGATGACGAATGGGAGATGCGATTGTTAAATCCATCTATATTTTAATGTACTTTTAACGTGTCAGACATTATCAATGCCAGATTAAAATACCTACATCTGTGTGTATATTTTTTTTCTCTTGAAAAATGCTCATCAAAATTCTGAAGCAGCATAACATAGAACCGAAGATGGGCTCTATAAGTTGCTCATGCGCAGAAGGGATGCGGCCTCCTAACTCCTGTATTGATCGTGAGGGATGTCGGGGGAAAGGGGTGGTTGAAGATTTGGGAAATTATGTATCAGGTGTAAGGGGAGGAAAGGAGAAAAAAATTCAAGGCGAATCTCGTGCATTGGATGGAAATTTTATGGCGAATTGTACAGTCTGATCAATGCCATTTGCTTAATTTCTTGAGCTGATGTTAGATTCGAATGTGTTGGAGTCGTTGGCGGGGAATTGATTTTCTTGTGAAAGATCACTACCCGAATTCTCGTTACATTTTTCTTCGAAATAAGGGGTATTAATAAAATATCATTGATACATGAATATTTAAAGGTTCTTATAGAAACATTAAAAAATATAAAAAAATATTTTTAGAAATGTTAAGAATTTATAAGATGCTAGTTATTGCCAGCGGCTTTACTCTCTCGGAAGAATGATCTCTGCGCAACTCTCGAGCAATAACTTAAGTATCATATAGCATATATGGTATTGCTCGAAAAAGGCACGATCCCTCACCAATAATTGGTATGACAGCATGCGGCACCATAGCACCACTCAAGTTTAAAATTTCTTTAGCCATTTAAGAAAGGATCAAAAATAAATCTAAATAACCACTTCGTAGATAAGTTTTTATTTCGATTAAAACAGAAAAATTATTCTAAATAAATATTTGTTGATGTATAACTAACTATTCACCACTACTTAAATTAGCACTTAAAACTGCTTAATAAAATGAATTTGAATAAATACTTAACGTAAAACTGTGAAGCGAGAAAATCTTTTTGGATAATTTAAAAACACTGCCTCCCATAAACGTTAGATGAACTAGTATATCATAATTTCCAATATCATTAATTTCTTGATCTCATAAGAAATTACAACTTCTTGCAATCAGGCAAGGAGTTGATTTTCTTGACAAAGATCTTTTTCCCAATCCTCTTAGAACTTTTTTTTTTTAAATAAGGAGCAGAAATAAATTAGGAATGATTCAATAGAATGATTTAAATTAAAGGGTCCTTTTAGAAAAACATTCGACTGTTTAAAAACTTCAATATAATTCTTTGGCATAAAATTTCTACAAGAATGACACATGTCTCCCTATCAATATCAGTGATTTGAGGAAATTTTATTAATTTTGACTCATTTGAGTATTAAATGCGTACAAATCACATTACGAGTTCGTAACTGTACTTAATTCTTTAATTCTGCAGGTCTTCAAGAATTACCATTATGAGTTTACTTAGTTTACTTAGTTTACTTAGTTTACTTAGAATTTACCATTATGAATTTTGTTCCACCACGCAGTATTTCCACTGAGAGCAACATTTCCCACAATATGACGAAATCAAGACATGCATTACTCTTGAAGAAATTCAATGAAACCATTTTTGAGAGGAATTTTTTAACAGATGTCGTATTGGAAGTGGGTGATCACGTTTACAAAGCACACAAGTTAGTTCTTTCATGTTTCAGTCATTACTTGAAGAGACTTCTTGACTCCGAAAGAAGAGAACCATATCGAGTAAGCCATAGTGCTTTTGATCGATGGTCTTAGTGGAAGATGGTGATGAGTATTATTTTAGAGCACAAGATTTAGAAATTATAACAACAGCTGGAAGACGTTTATAGAAAAAACATATTTTTTCAAAGAATTTTGTTGAGTTAAAAATTGGATCAAAAATCAATCATCTAAATTTATAACTGATCATAATATATTTTGACAAAACAAAATATTATCGATTTTCCTAATGTACTTCCACTAAGATCTTAAATTTATTGTTTTATTAAAATTCCCTGTTTATTTGAAATTAATAATATTAAGGTGACATAGGACTTTCAAAAACTGTTTAGAAATTATCGAGGGATTTGTTTGAAATTCTCATATATTTATATTGTTAAAAACAATTTATATACAAAATTTTAAAAAAAAATTTTTAAATTAAAGAAATTCAAAAAATTAGAATTTTGAATTTTTTATGTTTTTTTTTAATATTATTCCTCGCGTTCGAAATTTTGTTAAAATGACAATTCTTTTAAAATATTACATATTAGGTAATATAAAAAAATTATTGGGAGCATTTTTTTTTATTATTATTGAAACAAATAACAGTAAAAAATGTAGTAAAAAACCAAAATTTCTGGGAAAAAATCATCATACCACTATAAAATATCATGTATAAAAATAATACTATTTACTTAATTCAATAAACTTTTCTGACTAAACGTTAATAATATTCATAAATATATAACATCAAATTCTCAAGTCAATAAACTGAAAATTCATTTCGCTGGAACAGTTTGAAATTTGTAAATTTGTCAAAAAAGACATTTTGAGAAAAATGACTTGTGCTACTTCTTCATTGCAGGGCGTCAAAGAGCGTGGTTAAAACAGAAATGGCCGTAACTTCGTCAAAAAAATGTTCAGTTAAACGCCTAGATTTCAAAAATACAGAGAGAAAAAATTTGATTTTTTGGCGAATTTTTGTTTATTTGAAAGTCTCTTGTCACCTTAAAATGAATACTTTAATAAGCCAAATGCTCTTTTAGACTAGGTTACAAACTAACATTCATATTACCTGATTCATATTGCCTTCATTCGCTTCAAAATATATCAATAGGAAATAACAGTTGACAAGTTCCCAGCGCTCAAAAACAGGCACCCATTTTCGAGATTTGACAGAAGTGAATGAGAAGAAACAAAAGTGATTTGAAATATAAACCTGAATACCAAACAGATTTATTCATATGAATGTTGATTCCCTTGTTAATGACATAAGTTTATCACCACCTCTCCATAGCGCTTGAAAAGGCATCTTACCCTGATTCCCCCCTCTCTGCACTCTGGCTTTTCTTTTTCTGTTTTTCATCTTTTTCTTTCTTTCTCAGTTTCCGTGGTTTTTCTAGTTATGTTTCTCACCTTTATTTTATCCTTTTTTCAGTGGCAACTTTTTGCTTTGTCTTTCAAATCCCTTTTGCTTCTTCTCTTTCACGTCTGGCAAGTCTTAAAAATGTGTGCCTGCTTTTGAGCGCATTAAACATGTCAACTATTTTTTCGATTAATATATTTTTGAAGTGAATGAAGTTCTTAATCAGGTAATATTTTATCGCTTCAGTTTCTTGGGATAATTTATTTAGCATTCAGATTGAAATGTTTTTTTGAAAGATGTTTTTTTCAAAACAAATTCTATGCAACTTGCAATTTATTTTTAAGGAAACAATCGGTGAGCTTTTTATATTGAACACAGCTCCAAATGTGTATATAAAGAAATGGTTTTAGTTCGAAATGCTAATTTCATTGTCATAATGGACACATCAGAAATGCAACTTTTTAATGTTAAATCCAAATTTAACAGCTAAGAATGGAAAAGGGTTGCAAAGATACGCCATTTTAGAGAAGCCTAATGCTTTATTTACAAAACTAAAAATTTATAAAAATACAGCATTTTACAGAATCGTTTTTGCAAGAACGAGTAAAAGTGTTGTTTTCTTCAATTTAATTTATTATCAGCATTTTTTTAGCAAAAAAAGAAGAAAAATCGCGTGTATAATTGGTTTACATAAAGATTACATTTTAAAAATTTCGACACAATCTAACATTTAAAAATCCAACCTTTTCGTTTTTCCCCAATTTTTTAAAAAAAAAACTGTCTTTCGATTTATTAATGATTTGATTTTTCATAAATGGATTTGGGTAATTTTGAATTGTGTTTATTCTAGTTTTATTATACATGTTAGTTTCGGCTTATGTCTTCAAAACTTCTGAACCTCTTCTCTTGTCTCCCCCCATGCACATTAGTTACGCCTTTAAGTAGCCAATTTTAAGTGAAATTTGCTACTTCAAAATATTCACGTGTGAAAATTAAAATGCTTCATTTTTAACACGATTTGTCATAGTTTTTCACATGAATACCGTTTTTGCCGTTACCTTTTATTTTTGAGAACATCGTTTTGATCTTTAGTGACTTAAAATTTAATATGAGATGCTTTCTTTATGCATATAATATGAATGTTTGAGAAAGTGATCTTGAAAATTCTTTATTGTTTTATTTTTGACAACTTAACAACTTGGCTTAACAACTAAATCTTATTTATTCTTTTTATTTGGAATTCATTCACTAATTTTCTTTCTTAGCTAGTGATTCCTAAAGTGGGAAGAGAAGAGATAAAATTACTGCTTCAATACATGTATACTGGAAAACTTAATTTAACTTGTGAAAATTTTTTTGAAGTATACAAAGCCGCCGCTATGCTGGAAATGGTGGAAGTTATGCAAGAATGTATTCAGGTTTGTGAATTACGCATAGTTTCTTTTTATATGTAAATAAAAAAACAAAAAAAAACTCTGGATAATCCCTATAACAAGAATCCTTGTACTGTTGTACTTAATCCTTGTCTTAAATTATAAAAAATTACTATTAGAAGATAAGTATTTTGTTTTTTTCCAACCAATTATTTTAAAATGGGCATAAAGATTGAACTTTTTTAGCGATATTGGCTTTCGAACAATTTTATTATGCCAAATTTGAACAAGAAATTTAAAGGAAATGTGCTCTGATCAATTCTTTATTGAATATGACACAGAAATCAAGATAAATGTAAATACACATATGATTTACAATAAAAATACCCTTGACATGAAGAAGCCTTCAAAGACGGAACAATATATCAAAATTTTATGTAGAAATTTACCGTTATGGAAATACAGATTCTTATAAGAAATCTGTTCATCTCTAATTGCAATTGATTGGGGGCACGAACTTTCCATGCAGGCCAATTAAATTCGGACACTTAAAAGGAGTTAATACCTGACAAAATAACCGTAGTTTCATCTCATATAGTGGGTATTAAGGAGAACTCGAAGCAGAAACTTGTCTGTTAAAGTAGCCCCATTCTTAATCAGATTAAAGTTCGGAGATCTGGGTGGCCAATCAATCCGTTGAATATTTTCCCACTTTAAAAAATCCTTAGAGTATCTTAATTTTCTAGTAATAATTTGTAATAGTCAAGAATATATCAATTCCCCCAGCGGTAATCAAATTGTAAAATCTTTTTTAAAAAAGATTTTATAAGATTTCTGTTTAACTGATCATACTAACTGCGATTACTGTCACCGAAAGTAGAGTTAAGCTGTCATAAACATTTTGATACCAAAAAATATATGCTTTTATATTCTCAAATAATCTAAATATACATAGTAAAAATAGCAATATCACAATTTGTTCAAAAGCATTACTGCAGTTGAAACTCTTTTTCAGCTGTTGGAACCTAAAGGAGACATCAAAAGTTGCTTTTACTCATTCATTGCGGCAAAAAAGTTAAAAAATGACACAGCGTATCTAAAAGCACTGAAGCACCTAGCACACAGATTTGAAGAAACAATAACTTCACCGGAGTTTTTGAATTTTGACGTAAATAGTATTCTGGAACTAATATCCAGCCAAACTATTGGGACTAGAAGGTACGTGTTTCTGTTTACTTCATTTTTCTTACGACCTTTAATCATTGGGTTCTAAACAGTATTTTTCTTTTAAAACAAATTGCATAAACATGTTTAAAACATCATTTTAGATCCAATTCAACTTAGACTTCAATAACTGTTTCCCCTTAGTAAGGAAGACGGCAGATTACACGAGAAAAGAAAAGTATTGTTTTAAAAGACAAATAACTCTTTGAAACTGGTCACGAAGTCACTCTTATTAGAACAATCTTAGCGGAAATGTTCACTTGTGACATAACAGTGGTGACTCAAAATGTTAAGGCATAATGTAATATATAAAAATTAGTTTTTGTTCGTTTTTTCACGAAATTTTCTATGAATTTGGATTATCATTTAACAATCTCGTTATCTTTTTTTTCTCCATTAACAACTGCACCGAAGAGCCATTACATTATGACCACCCTCCATCTATAACAATGGACTCATCCAGGTTTTCATGGCTTTTCGCCCAAGAACAATGTTTTCATGGAGCACATTAGGACCCATAATGCTCATAGAACAATCCCTGACGTCTGTAAGCTACTTGAACATAGTTGCAGACCAGGTTCACCCATTCATGGCAACAGTTTTTCCTGCGGGGGATGGTGTTTACCAACAGGATAATGCACCATGTNTAAGAATTGAGTACTCATTTCAAAACGTAATATATTTTTTGAAGGTCTATTTTTATTGGTTTATTTTCAGTTTAATTTTTTTGCCAATCCATAAATTATTTGAAACAATTTTTTTAAAAATATATTTAGACTAATTCGTAAGTACTTCAAAGAATAAATAAATAAAGACCTTTAGAGTATGCATAGTATTATTTTATTACTGACAAAACATATATGGTATAAATATTTCATCTTTCACTTCAAAAAATGGCTTAAGTTCCTTTACATTTGCGAATATTTTATTTAAACTTATTATTTATTATTTATCGAAATATAACTTGTTATTTCCGTAAAACATTATGAAATATTATGAAGTAAAATATTAGTAAAATTACATTAAACAATAATAGTTTTAGAAATAAATATTTTTAGTTTTTAAAATTATCTCTTCCTTTGTATAATTTTATTTTTTAAGCTATATAACATAAAATGATAATGGCCTAAAACCGTTTTTTGTTGCTGTCGGTTAACTCTTATTGGTCAAAATAACCATATAATGTATTCTTATTCAACAAAAAGGATCAGAAAATCTTTTATTAGCTCAACATTAAAAAAAATTGTAACGGTATTTATGGATAAATTATTTATATCTCTTATTCAACGGTATTTTCATTATGCTGTATTTTATTTTTAGTGCTTTTAAATATTCATTTGAAGTTATATTCGCATATGTTACTCTGTCTACATTAAACTTAACCATTTTAACTTTTTGATTTTTATTTAAAGGCTTAAAACTATGTTTTTTTAATATATTATGAAGAACATTGATTTTGCTCCTTAATCCTTGGCATTCGTTCAACCAACGTAAGCAACTAAAAAAATGAATACAAATGAATTAAAAGTCGGAATTAATTATTCCTTTTATTGCTAAACATTTAGCAAGTTTTCTAGTAACCAAAATTTAAATAAAAAATTAAAAGACAAGTTTAAGGAAGAAATTGCAATGATAACTGAATAAACTTTGCAATTATCAAAATGGAAACTAACTGTAGTATCAATTCTGTAGTAACAAAAAAATAGGAAAAAAAATCACACTTAATAACAACTTATTTTTGACTTTTAACTTTAATTTTTGTTGTACCAATCTGTCTATTGTCAAGAAAACAAAAAAATATTGCAAAATAATCGAAGGGGGAGGGGGTGAGAGAAGCGTGCAGGAAGCAGGTCCCTCCATTAAAATCCAAATTTATATAAAAATAGCAAAATTTATTTTGCAATTAAATTTGGGAAAAGAAATAAATTATTTTTAAATGGAACTGAAAATTACTCTATTAAGAAGTATTTGGTTTACATTTCGTATTATGTCCAGTGCCAAAACATAAAATCCTTCTTTTTATCTCAAACCTTGCTTGCTTATGATACAGGGGAAAAAAATTTTATTGCATGCTTATTACATCGATATTTGTTTAATAATTTAAAATCTTATGCAAAATGCAACTTTAACTATCCATCAAAATAAAATCAAAATCAGAATATTGAAAATAGATACCATAAATACCTGTCCGATGGTTAATATCTGGTACAGAAAAGCCGATACTGAACAAGAAACAAAATAAAATTTCAAAAAGCAATGAATCCATCTTCAATGTGAGGATGCGTGGTCACGATGACGAATGGGAGATGCGATTGTTAAATCCATCTATATTTTAATGTACTTTTAACGTGTCAGACATTATCAATGCCAGATTAAAATACCTACATCTGTGTGTATATTTTTTTTCTCTTGAAAAATGCTCATCAAAATTCTGAAGCAGCATAACATAGAACCGAAGATGGGCTCTATAAGTTGCTCATGCGCAGAAGGGATGCGGCCTCCTAACTCCTGTATTGATCGTGAGGGATGTCGGGGGAAAGGGGTGGTTGAAGATTTGGGAAATTATGTATCAGGTGTAAGGGGAGGAAAGGAGAAAAAAATTCAAGGCGAATCTCGTGCATTGGATGGAAATTTTATGGCGAATTGTACAGTCTGATCAATGCCATTTGCTTAATTTCTTGAGCTGATGTTAGATTCGAATGTGTTGGAGTCGTTGGCGGGGAATTGATTTTCTTGTGAAAGATCACTACCCGAATTCTCGTTACATTTTTCTTCGAAATAAGGGGTATTAATAAAATATCATTGATACATGAATATTTAAAGGTTCTTATAGAAACATTAAAAAATATATAAAAAAATATTTTTAGAAATGTTAAGAATTTATAAGATGCTAGTTATTGCCCGCGGCTTTACTCGCTCGGAAGAACTTTGATCTCTGCGCAACTCTCGAGCAATAACTTAAGTATCATATAGCACATATGCTATTGCTCGAAAAAGGCACGATCCCTCACCAATAATTGGTATGACAGTATGCGGCACCATAGCACCACTTAAGTTTAAAATTTCTTTAGCCATTTAAGAAAGGATCAAAAATAAATCTAAATAATCACTTCGTAGATAAGTTTTTATTTCGATTAAAACAGAAAAATTATTCTAAATAAATATTTGTTGATGTATAACTAACTATTCACCACTACTTAAATTAGCACTTAAAACTGCTTAATAAAATGAATTTGAATAAATACTTAACGTAAAACTGTGAAGCGAGAAAATCTTTTTGGATAATTTAAAAACACTGCCTCCCATAAACGTTAGATGAACTAGTATATCATAATTTCCAATATCATTAATTTCTTGATCTCATAAGAAATTACAACTTCTTACAATCAGGCAAGGAGTTGATTTTCTTGACAAAGATCTTTTTCCCAATCCTCTTAGAACTTTTTTTTTTTAAATAAGGAGCAGAAATAAATTAGGAATGATTCAATAGAATGATTTAAATTAAAGGGTCCTTTTAGAAAAACATTCGACTGTTTAAAAACTTCAATATAATTCTTTGACATAAAATTTCTACAAGAATGACACATGTCTCCCTATCAATATCAGTGATCTGAGGAATTTTTATTAATTTTCACTCATTTGAGTATTAAATGCGTACAAACCACATTACGAGTTCGTAACTGTACTTAATTCTTTAATTCTGCAGGTCTTCAACAAGAGTAAAACTTAGAATTTACCATTATGAATTTTGTTCCACCACTCAGTATTTCCACAGAGAGCAACATTTCCCACAGTATGACGAAATCAAGACATGCATTACTCTTGAAGAAATTCAATGAAACCATTTTTGAAAGGAATTTTTTAACAGATGTCGTATTGGAAGTGGGTGATCACGTTTACAAAGCTCACAAGTTAGTTCTTTCATGTTTCAGTCATTACTTGAAGAGACTTCTTGACTCTGAAGGAAGAGAACCATATCGAGTAAGCCACAGTGTTTTGGTCGAAGGGCTTAGTGGAAGATGGTGATGAGTATTAATTTAGAGCATAAGGTTTAGAAATTATAGCAACAGCTGGAAGAAGTTTATAAAAAAAAAAACATATTTTTTCAATGAATTTTGTTAAATAAAAAATTGAATCAGAATGATCTAAATTTATAGCTGATCATAATTTATTTTAAAAAATCAAAATATTATCGATTTCCCGAACGTACTTCCACTAAGATCTTAAATTTATTTATCGTTTTATTAAAATATCTCCCTGTTTATTTGAAATTAATAATAAGGTGACATAGGACTTTCAAAATTTTTTTAGAAATTATCAAGGGATTTGTTTGAAATTCTCAATATATATTTATATTGTTAAAAACAATTTATATACAAAATTTCAAAACATTATTTTTAAATTTAAGAAATTTAAAAAATTTAAATTTTGAATTTTTTATGTTTTTTCAATATTGTTCCTCGTGTTTGAAATTTTGTTAAAATGACAAAATTCTTTTAAAATATTACATATTGGGTAATATAAAAAAATTATTTTAAAATATTACATATTAGGTAATATAAAAAAATTGTTGGGAGTATTTTTATTTTTTATTATTGAAACAAGAAACAGTAAAAAATGCAGTAAAAAACCAGCATTTTTGTAAAAAAATCATCATACCGCTATAAAATTTCATGTATAAAAATAATACTATTTACTTAATTCAAAAAACTTTTCTAACTAAACGTTAATAATATTCATAAATATATAACATCAAATTCTCAAGTCAATAAACTGAAAAATCATTTCGCTGGAACAGTTTGAAATTTGTAAATTTGCCAGAAAAGACATTTTGAGAAAAATGACTTGTGCTACCTTTTCATAGCAGGGCGTCAAAGGGGCGTGGTCAAAACAGAAATGGCCGTAACTTCGTCAATTTTGCTCTAATTCAAGAAATTTTTTAAAAAAAACGCTCATTTAAACGCCCAGATTTCAAAAATACAGAAAGCAAAAATTCGATTTTTCGGCAAATTTTTGTTTTTTTGAAACTCCCTTGTCACCTTAAAATGAATATTTTAATAAGCCAAATGCTCTTTTAGACTAGGTTGCGAACTAACATTCATATTACCTGATTCATATTGCCTTCACTCGCTTTAAAATATATCAATAGGAAATAACAGTTGACAAGTTTCCAGAGCTCAAAAACAGGCACCCATTTTCAAGATTTGACAGAGGTGAATGAGAAGAAACAAAAGGTATTTGAAATATAAACTTGAATACCAAACAGATTTATTCATATGAACGCTGATTTCCTTGATAATGACAGAAGTTTATCACCACCTCTCCATAGCGCCTGAAAAGGCATCTTGCCCTAATTTTCCCCTCTCTGCACTCTGGCTTTTTTTTTTCTTTCTGTTTTTCATCTTTTTTTTCTTTCTCGGTTTCCGTGGCTTTTCTAGTTATGTTTCTCACCTTTATTTTCCCTTTTTTCAGTGGCAACTTTTTTGCTTTATCTTTCAAATCCCTTTTGCTTCTTCTTTTTCTCGTTTGGCAAGTCTTGAAAATTGGTTCCTGCTTTTGAGGGCATGAAACACGTGGACTTTTTTTTCCATTTATATATTTTTGAAGTGAATGAAGTTTTTAATCGGGCAATATCTTATCGCTTCAGTCTCTTGGGATAATTTATTTAGCATTCAGATTGAAATGTCTTTTTGAAAGTTGTTTAAAAGAATTTTTAAAAACAAATTCTATGCAACTTGCAATTTATTTTTAATGAAACATTTAATCGGTGAGCTTTTCATTTTGAATACAGCTCCAAATGTGTATATAACAAAATTGTTTTCGCTCGAAATGATAATTTCATTGTTCATAATGAACAGTCATCTAAAATGCAACTTTTTAATGTTAAATTTAAATTTAACAGCTAAGAACGGTAAACGGTTACGAAGATACGGCATTTTGGAGAAGCTTAGTGCTGTATTTATAAAAATACAAAATTTTACAGAATCGTTTTCGCAAGAAAGAGTAAAAGTGTTATTTTCTTCAATTTAATTTATTATCAGCATTTTTTTAGCAAAGAAAAAAAAATCACGCGTCTAATCGGTTTCTATAAAGATTACAATTTAAAAATTCCGACAAAATCTAACATTCAAAAATCCAATCTTTTCTTTTCTCCCCAATTTTTTTAAAAAAATTGGTTCTTAATTTATTAATGATTTGATTTTTCATAAATTGATTTGGGTCACTTTGGACTGTATAAATTTTAGTTTTATTATGCGTGTTAGTTTCGACTGATGTCTTCAAAACTTCTGAACCTCTTTTCTTGTTTCCCCCCATACACATTAGTTACGCCTTTAAGTAGCCAATAAGTGGAATTTACTGCTTCAAAATATTCACGTGTGAAAACTAAAATACTTCATTTTTAACACGATTTGTCTTAGTTTTTCACATGAATATTGCTTTTGCCGTTACCTTTTATTTTTGAGCACACCGTTTTGATTTTTAGTGACTTAAAATTTAATATGAGATACTTTCTTTATGCATATGATATGAATGTTTGAAAAAGTGATCTTGAAAATTCTTTATTGTTTTATTTTTGACAACTTAACAACTTGGTTTAACGACTTAAATTTTATTTACTCCTTTTATTTTGAATTTATTAATTAATTTTCTTTCTTAGTTAGTGATACCTAAGGTGGGAAGAGAAGAGATAGAAATACTGCTTCAATACATGTATACTGGAAAACTTAATTTAACTTGTGAAAATTTTTTTGAAGTATACAAAGCCGCCGCTATGCTGGAAATGGTGGAAGTTACGCAAGAATGTATTCAGGTTTGTGAATTACGCATAGCTTCTTTTTACATGTAATTAACAAAAAAAAAGCCTCTGAATAATCCCTATATCAAGAATCCCAGTACTGTTCCGATAAATTATCCATTGTTCTCAAATTAAATTGTAAAAAAACTATTATTGGAAGATAATTTTGTCTTTTTCCAACCAATTATTTTAAAATGGGCATAAAGAATTAATTTTTTTTCCTCATTGATATTGGCCTTCAAACCATTTTATTGTACCTAATTTGAACAAGAAATTTAAAGGAAATGTGCTCTAAACAATTCTTCACTGAATATGACATAGAAATCGTGATAAATATAAATACATATATGATTTACAATAAAAAAATCACCCTTGACAAGAATGATCCTTCAAAGAGGAAGCAAGACATCACAATTTTATGTGGAAATTTACCGTTATGGAAATACAGATTCTTATAAGAAATCTTTTCATCTCTAATTGCAATTGATTGGGAGCATGAACTTTCCAAACAGCCAATTAAGTTCGGACACATAAAAGGAGTTATTACCTGACAAAATACCCGTGGCTTCAGCTCATATAGTGGCTATAAAGGAGAACTCGAAGCAGAAACTTGTCTGTTAAAGTAGCCCCATTCTTAATCTGATTAAAGTTCGGAGATCTGGGTGGCCCATCTATCCATTGAATATTTTCCCACTATATAAAATCCTTAGAGTATCTTAATTTTTAAATAATAATTTGTAATAGTCAAGAATATATCAATTCCCCCTGCGGCAATCAAATTGTAAAATCTTTTTAAAAAAAGATTTTATAAGAATTTTTTTAACTGATCATACTAACTGCGATTACTATCACCGACAAAAGTAGAGTTAAGCTGTCATAGAAATTTTGATACCAAAAATATATATATATGCTTTTATATTCTCAAATAATCTAAATGTATAGTAAAAACAGCAATACCACAATTTGTTCAAAAGCATTGCTGCAGTTTAAACTCTTTTTCAGCTGTTGGAACCTAAAGGAGACATCAAAAGTTGTTTTTACTCATTCATTGCGGCAAAAAAGTTACAAAATGACACAGCGTATCTAAAAGCTCGGAAACACCTAGCACACAGATTTGAAGAAACAATAACTTCACCGGAGTTTTTAAATTTTGACGTAAATAGTATTCTGGAACTAATATCCAGCCAAACTATTGGGACTCGAAGGTACGTGTTTTTGTTTACTTCATTTTTCTTACGACCGTTATCATTGGGTTTTAAACAGTATTTTTCTCTTAAAACAAATTTCATAAACATGTTTAAAACATCATTTTAGATCCAATTCAACTTTGACTTCAATCCCCTTAGTAAGGAAGACGGCAGATTACACGAGAAAAGAAAAATATTGTTTCAAAAGAAAAATAACTCCTTGAAACTGGTCACGAAGTCACTCATATTAGAACAATCTTAGCGGAAAAGTTCACTTATGAAATGACAGAGGTGACTTAAAATGTTAAGAAATAATATATAAAAATTAGTTTTTGCTCGTTTTTTTCCTCAAATTTTTCCATGAATTTGGATTGTCGTTTAACAATCCCGTTTTCTTTTTCTTTCCTCCATTAACAACTATTATTTTATAAATGTTCAAACTTTTTATCAAAAATAGAAAAACCAATATCATATTTTTAAGGCATGGGTAACTTCTATCGAAAGAATTTCATATTCTAAGCAAAAAAATACGTAAACTATCTTTTGCATATCCAGAAATTTTCTTCTCAGACAATTTTTTCTTTAAGATGGGGGGGAGGGAAATAGGTATCGACGGGGAAAGTCAAAGAGTTTCATCAAATTAAATGGTCGAATAATTATGGTTCGAATTATTCGCACCAAAGAGTTAATAAATTTAACAAGTAGGATAACATAAGTTAACCCTAACATATTAAGGTTGCTGCATTTTTGAACGATATTAGAGTTTAACATGCTCCTAAATTTTTAACAGTATGGCGTTGAGATAAATAAAATAAAAATGTACTTGAAAATTTTTTCTCTAAATATTGTTCGTGCAATGCTTTTCAATTTCATAAATTTCAACATTTGTAGTTGTCTATAGTAGTATTTTACATTTATCCAGAGCGGTCCTTTTACACTTAATTATTTATAATTATTTTTCGTTGTGAATCGTGCTTTTTATATTTTTATCCTATTTTATGATTTCATTTCATTTTTTAAAGATCTATTCCTATCACTAGGTAGTTTTAAATTTGTTTACAAACTTTATACGGTAGAAACAAGTTAATTAAAATACAAATACTTATGATTTATTTATGATTTATTGATGCTTACGATTTAGTACAATTCACCGATTAGTTACCCTTTTTTAAAAACGTGCCGTTTTCACATCAAACTGTTACTTTCCATTATTTCTAGGTATTTATTTTAAAGGTTTCCGGAATTGCCACTGGAAATAATAAACAGCAAAATGCACTGAAACATCTTATTTCCTTCACAAAAATCATGGTGTTTTTTATCAAAAATTATCATTTTTGATCTGCATATTGTAATTAAAGAAGGCACAAAAAAACATGAAAGAAAAAAACAAATACTGAAGATTTAAAAACAGTCTTAAATACACATAAATAATTCATTGTATGTGTTTTTCAGACGTATTCTTTCCATCAATCACATTTGAGTAAAATTTATTAAGCTAAAATAAGCTTTAAAAAAAGCTTTAAAATTGGGATATTTAAGTTTACCGCTTAAATAACGCTAAGGGGATAAATATTTTGTTCATTTATGCAAATACTTGATATTGCCTAATTCGGGTCAGAGAATTTCAAATCTAAAATTTGTTTTGCTCCTGAAGCTACAGAATTTTTTAAACATGATGTTTTTATTCTATATTTTGTGGAAATACGCAAGTTTAAAAGCGTAATGCATAGCAGGGAGTCGTATGAATATTGAGACAAAGTTCAAGGAGAGTTAGGGCAGATCATTAGATAGGGCGAGATTAAAATTGCATAAAAACTCATGACCAGAAACGTCATCATACGCCGCTAGTGGCGCTAACCTATTTTGAAATGTTGAGAAGCACAAAAAAAATTTATAGCAGATAAATGCCCTTAGTGGCGTAGGATGACATTTTCATATTATGACATTTATATATAACGTTTTTAAACTTGTACATTTCGAGAAAAAAATAAACTAAAATGTCATTTTTGAAAAAGAAACTATAGAGCTTGGAGAGAGAAACACATTGTAGATTTGAAATCAACGATACAAAAATATCTAAGATCTGTTAAAAACATCTCATGCAACAAAAAATATTGTTTCCTTGTGTAACTAACGCAATTATTTTCAGCGAAATGATCATATTTTTGTCTGCTTTGCATTGGTTGAATAATGATTATACACAGAGATCCAAATATGTTGTAGAAGTGATGCGACGCGTGCGTTTCAGCTGCATGAGTATGAATGAAATTATAGCATGTTATCATCCACCAATTTTGCCACAGATTTTGGAAATACCCGAAATTGTGTTGCTCTTATATAGAGCCACATGGTGAGTAATTTTTTTTTATAATTCTTCAAAAGAATTTTAAAATTCTCAAGAATATTGAAAGTATTATAGAATTTAAATTTTTATCTTTTAGAAATGTAATGAACATTTTATTAACAATTTTAGTAAATGCAGCAGAAGCTCGATATAACGAGAGCTGCATAATACGAGAAATTTGCTATTACAAGACGTTTCCAAGTCGCCATCGATATATCAATATAGATAGGGGAACTATATGTTTATAAGGACCTTAAAATTACTTGGTTTCTGCTATTGCGAAATATATTTTTCTGCTGTTTAAGTGAGCAGTATTAAACGAAAAAGGGCAAAATGAAGACATATTCTTTCATTTTTAGTTTCATTACATAAATGGAAGAAGAAAAAAAATTTCATTTTCTGCTTACAAAATTATGCGTGAATGATCACCGGGCAAGTTATCTTTCTCATTTCAAAAGAAAATTTCTGCTGCTATTTCTAAGAATACTGTCACACTTTTCATAAGAATTTATATATCTACATATATCTATATATTTATATATCTATACATATCGGCAATGCACATATCTACAATGTTCCCTTAATTATTTTCCTGACAGATTACTATTTAAATAAATTTCCTATGCAATTCATGACATCCAAAAAGGTATTGCATTTCGTTTCGTCTTTATTTTTTAATCTTACCAAAATTCTCAGACCAAACCGGTCAAAACCGGTCTAAAATGTGTCCCAACTAAATAAAGCCATCTCATTATTTTCTTGCCATAATTGTGCGCAAGGAAAACCAATGAAAATTAACTATAAAGTTAATATAGAAACACTTATTTACAAGGACTCACTTGTGCTTCACCTAGACAGGAAAAAAAATCCTCGAATAAGAAAAAGAGGAGGAAAAAGAAGTGTCATATAGAATCAAGGGTCACTTCAGATTATGGTTAATATATCCTGCATGTTTATATATGACTTGAAATACATGCTGTTTTTATATCATTTACTAAATTCTGAAGTACTACATTTGCATTGCCAGGTTTCAATACTAACAGAAACTGAAACTTATTTTTAAATTTAAACAAAATAACGATTTTTCAGAAAAAATCGCTACAAATATTATTTCGAAAAATTATTTAAATCATTCTTTTTTTAATTTAATCTACAAGAAGGAAAGTAAATCATCTGAGTGGTTAATTACTGAATTATGTGTCGAACTAAAACCGTGGTATTTACGTAAAAATATTTAAAATGTTTGGGTGAATGTTGCATCAATGCAAATACATTTATTTTAAAGTGCTATAACCTCTGTATTATTATATTTTTTAACCAGTTCAGCATAATATTAAACCTATTTCGGTGCATTTTATTAAAATTAAAAATATATACTTGTTATCTTCTAAAAATTATGTTTTTAAATCTTTACGAACACAGAGTTATAATATAGCTGCATAAATTTGTAATTTACTTAAGTTTATGTGTTATTAAAATTGTGAATTTATACAAAACTTAATCCACATTTTGGTCTTAGTATATCTCGTTCAATTTGGCTTGGAGTTTAATTTCAAAACATATAAATGCCAAAGCAGAGAGTTTGTTTTTACTTGAAAACTCTAACATATTTCACTTAAATTTAAACAAATTTGTAGTTGACTATTACAAATTATAAATTTTCCATTTATTCATTTATTAAAAATTTTTATTTTTGTTTTGCAGTTACATTACAGCTAAGTTTTTGGGGCAAGAGAATCTTTTCAGACAATATGAAGTCCGTAAAAGAAATTTCTTGTTTGAGGAACTACCGATGGATATATGGGTGAAACTGTTTTTCTGTCATCTCACCATAANTTTATTTATAATAGATTTTCATTTCAAAACATAGTTTTTTTTATAATTGAATAATATTTATTTTTTGGTATTAAAATGCAAATTAAACATTCAAATATATATGCAAGCAATTTTCTAAATATACTTGTGTAATAAAAAAAATTAAAACTGGTTTTTAAGGCTATTAGCGTTTTTAATTGAAACTGATTTTTGCGATTTTTGCTCAGTCTAAAAGTGGCATTAAAAATTCCAAGATGGCAATTTAGAATGCATCAGAAATTGTTTCTGGTTAGTCCTTTGATTTACTCATTGTCTACATTACCAGAGAAATTGCTTTCGATGTTTTTTTCTTCCAATAACTTCATTAGTTTCAAGTATCCATTGATGAAAACTAATTCTTCTGAATTTTCAAAGCTCGATTTTCTAAGTTCTACTTCTTTTCCACAAATGTTTAATGAATTTTAGCATCACCAATGATAATATGAATTTGAATATATATATATATATACAAACTTTTTCTTCCAATAAAACTCAATTATTTATTCTTTTCTGTTTCTAGCATGACCATCAGCATTCTGGAGGTATAAATATAACGCCGCAACAACAAGAGGATAAAACTCGAAACAGCTCTTCAGACGGAACTATTTCAATACATACAACTGACTGCTCATATTATAAGAAAAGTGCTAGCCTCACAAATAAAGAAACAATTTTTTCTGATAATCATCCGTTGCAAACATGTGCAGATTTTATGAGATCGGCAAAGAAGAGATATTCAAATGTTATACCTGCTGAGAAAGAAAGTGAGGGCTGAGAATTTATCTCTTCGAAATTTATTTATGTAATATTTTCGCTCTTAATGTTAAACAAATTTACGAATAAAAATATTAACCCTTTGCAGTCGTATTCTCGGCCAGCAAAGCAAGCTTCTTTTACCGTTTCAGTGTTATGTCTTATCTCAGCCACTACATCAAAGAACAGTCCTAATATTATACCTTTGAACAATACTGCAACTTAGACGTGGTGGCTCAGGAGAGCGAGCGTTCACCTTCCAATGAGGTGCACCGGATTCGAATCCCGGCAATACGTTAAAATACCTGTTAAAATATGACAACTGACGTTATAATATCCTGAGTGGTAGACGGATTATGAGTTAGAGTTCCCTTGTCAGATAAACTGTGGGAGGTTTTTGCGGTTTTCCTCTCCATGTAACGAAAATACTGGTTATTTCAGAGAAAAAGTTCTCCACGAAGGCAAATTTCTCTCAATACTTGATTCAGGAGTTTCTTTTTCTTCTGGATTTTGTTCAAAATTACAAGGCTACATAGTTGAGCATTACCAGTCAGAAGTCCAAAATTGGGAAGGTTGTTCAACGATGGTTTTAAAATAAAATACTGTTCACTTAAGTTGATAGGGTTTAGAGATATATAAATTTCAAAGAGAAAACTTTCCATTTCTCGTTGCGTTTAAGTGCATTAGTTTGCAAAATCACCTGATTTTTAACCCTACAGAAAATGTGTTCTATATGTTGGAACAACGGTTAAACACCGAATTCTGGAATCAGCTCCCCTCGCTATTCAGTAGATTTATGAGAACAATTTCTTTGAGAATAGTTTAAACAGGTTGCGATGCGCCTGCAAAACCTAGTGGACTCTCTTCTTAATTGATTTCTAGTGGTTATAAAGTCCAGAGGAAGAGTTTAAATTTTTGTCCAATGTACTTTTAAAATGAACTGTTTGTTATTCATTTTTTTATTTTTGCAGGTTTTGAAACAGCAGAAATTTTGGATAATAATTACTATGATTCTAGATTGCTGAGAAATTCTGATTTATACAGAAGGAATGTGGAAAGAAGCCCATTAAAAGCGTGTGGACCCGAAACAATTCATATTAAAGTGGTGAATGAGGAATCTTGTGCAAAATATCCAGACCAAAAACACGCACCAATATCCTCCAAAAAGAAAGCTCATCCACAAATTTTTTCTCCAGAGGTATACATATATGTAAATATATATTTGAATTAGATATTAATATATAAATAAATATTAAAAGTAAAAAATCAGCATATAAACATTTTGTACCTTTTTAAAATTACAGAAATAACCTGGTAAAAACTTACCTGATCAAAACCTTCATTTGCTTCAAAAATATTTTGAAGCGAATGAAGTCTTTAATCAGGTAAAATCTACTTCAGTTTCTTGGGATTGTTAATTTAACGGCAAAAATGTTTTTTATGCATATTGTAAGAATCTGTCAGTAATATGTTATAAGAATTTGTCCATTTTTGACGAAATTGAAGCAAAACTTAACACAAAAGCTATATTTCTGTCGTAATTTATAACCTTTAATTATCTATAATGTATCAAAATATTGAAACTTAATTTTTTTTAACAATTTAAGAAGATTACAAGCTTCTCTAATGGACAAAGACTCCTTAATCAAGAATCTACAGACCAATATGATGAGCACTATTTGCACAAGGCGTACATCAATTTTGATCGGAAAGCAAAGAGACATCAAAGAAATATATGCCCAGAGAACGAATTAAACATTGAACCAGTGCATTCGGTGGTAAGTTATAATTTTCATAGAATTAAAAATTTTCACGAATGAAATAATTTATGCTACTTTTATAATTAAATATTTAATGGGCGAATATATTAAATTACATTTCGCAAATACTCTAGCTTTTGAAAGGTGTTATGATAATGTTAATTTACGATAAAATTAGCCGGTTTTCATTGATAAAAGATGTTTTAAAATCATGTTGCTTCTATATAATCTAAAACTGATTTATTAAATTCACAAAATATAACTTAGATCTTCTACTACTACGCTTTACATTTATTTCCAATATAAAGTTTTCGATTTGATTTCACATCCATTCAAAATAATTAGGAAACTAAGATTTGTTTGCAACTTTTACTTTTATTGAAAAATACACAGGCAATAGCTCTGTTGCATACAGAGTGATTGCAATTGTGTAAGGAAAATTAATTAATTGAAAGCTTTGTTAAAACAACTCAAGATTAATTTTGAGTTACATTTTATTCTTGTATCTGATTGCATAATCAATATATTAAAGCATTTGCACGCACAATTATACAGTGAAAACTTACCTTTTGTTCTGAAAGAAGTAGTGCAGAAAACAATGTAGCAAGGAAAAGTAAAGATTTAAAAGGCATACTTTTATATACAGTGAACCAGAACGTAGTCTTTCTCTATTTTTCTCTGAACCACAGAGTTAAGTTCTTTTAACTATATACCTTAGCAAAGATGGTACTTGCGTATAGAAACAGCTGTATGTCTCTAAAATATTTTCATTATATACAGTTTACAATAATTCTAAGTAGTTTTTAAAATTAATTTACTGCCAATAACTTTTTTTTTAAATATTCTGCAATGTTTTTCTTTTCGTTTCTTAGTAGATTGGTAATTGGATCACCTTATACCCAATTGTGTATTTACTTTGAACTTACACGGCGAAATGCTTCGCTTAAAATCGTTATACAATGCAACAAATGTACACGACATTATTTTTAAGAGTATAACTCTCATGCCAGGATTTGCAACGCGTGTATGTTTCATTTTATAACCAACGTTGAGCAGCAGATCCATCCTGAGACCAATGTTCAACTCCGTTGCCTTGTAATTTTGAACGGGATCCAGAAGAAATGACAGCTCCTGAATCAAGTATTACGATATATGAAGTATAACCATTGCTGGAATTCGAACCCGGGCTACCTCATTGGGAGGCGAGCTCTGTATCCCTTGTGCCACCGTGACCAGCGTATATGTTTGATATTTTTCTCTTGATGAACTGTATTTCAAACCATACCTTTTTTTATGCATAGAATACGAAGCTCCGCCTTTATCTCGCTTCGCTGCACAACCCCATTATCTTAGCAGTCGTCTTTTCCTCTTGTTGTGAAACAGAACATTCCTTGAAAAAACAAAGTTTATTCTATTTTATACATTTCATTCTATTGTTACTCATGAGGTATTAACGTTGACTTCACTATTTGTTTTCTTTCAAATTTTGAATTCAACTTAAAGGGTTATTGTCAAGGAAACAAACTCGCCCGAAATGAAGGCATTTCGATAGGAATTAATAAGCCCCAAAATTGATTACAAAATTTTTTTTTAAAAATTTGAGATATAAAAATAAGTTTTACTTGTCGGGTTCAGGAAATGATTAGAATTTGCATGGCCAGCCAGCACAGAGCTCTAGTTTAAATTTGAGTATCAAGCGAAAAATGGTTGAAAGTTTTATTTACGATATATATCTTATGGCAATAATATGTCATCAAACTCTACTTATACAGGTCAGTAAAGTTTGAAACGTTGTAAACGTCAGTAAACGTTGAATTTTATTAAGATAAAAGGTGCAAGTAGTAGAGAAGTGGACGGAATTTTGATCGATAATTCCTAGATCCCATTTCTGAATGTGAAACCTCCGTTAAGCGGACATTCATGGGACCAAAAAATTTGTCCGTTTATGAGAGTTGTCCGTTTGCGGGAAGGGTACCCTAATAACGAAATTTAACCCCGTAAATTGTTTTTAGAATATTCTCAAAGATGTAGAAATAATTAAATAATATCTACAAGGATACCGTAAATATCTACAAGAATATTTATTTAAACAATAAGAAATATATAAAAGATATATAAAAAAGATAAAAAAAAGAAGATTCCTCATATAATCCTTTTTTTAAGATATAAAGAATCTTCTTTTTTTTATCTTAAAAAAAGAAGATTCTTTATACATTCTTTTTTATATAATAAATATAAAAAAAGAATATATGAAGAAGTTTGATATAAATACATAATTCTGGATGTAGCTACAGTTAAATAAATATAATTTTCCTATTAGCATAGATACTCAAGTTAGACATATGATACCAAATAGGAGCGTACTGTCCTCAGTCCGTTTCAATTATTAGGTTCACATCCCCTTACACCTACTTATCATTTGATAGGGAACATGGTTAATACCTTCTTGGAAAATAAACCTCCCATGATTCACAGAAAAAAAAGTAATGCATACCTGTAAGTCATGAGGACCTATGGAGATGATTATTCACAATTGATCAGCTATCAAGTGTCTGAATAAATGTTTCATTTATATAAACACCTCAAAGATTATACTTCTGTTCTCTTTTTTTTACCCCAGTTGTGTTAAATACAGTCTTCAAATTGATAAGAAAATTAAAGAAATTTTCAATGGGGAAGAAGCATTGAGAGAAGTCATTTCAACTTGAGGGGTCTCATAACCTGTGTGGTCCAGATGAAAAGATCAAAAGATGCCGATGTCAGAATTATTTCAGGAGTGCAGTACCATTTTCTCTCCTTTCTTTACAAAGATAAGACAAGGTGACAGGAGACAGATTGATTTTTCGGTGGTGAAATAGCTTAACAATATTTTTAGTTATGGATAAGGCAAAAAGTTTTATTTACATGCTTTAAAAATGGTGTAAAAATGAATTTTTTTAGCTTGGAATTTATTTAGAAAAAGTAGTGTCCGGTTTGTAGAGATAAAAAACAACGTTTCAGGATCAAAATGACTGTCCGCNCTACTTATATAGGTCAGTAAAGTTTGAAACGTTGTAAACGTCAGTAAACGTTGAATTTTATCAAGATAAAAGGTGCAAGTAGTAGAGAAGTGGACGGAATTTTGATTGATAATTCCTAGATCCCATTTCTGAGTTATATGGTTAATAAACTAATATTTAAACTTACATTGTCATACATCTTAAGGTGCCAGTTAAAATTTGAGTCCTCTAGCTAGTCTAATAAGGATCGAAATGTTTAGGTGCTAGTTTTGTTATAAAGTTTGCTTATATCGATCATGAAACGGAGGAAAGTTGCAATGCAATTAGGCTGTATTCCAGATTTGAGTAGTAGTATTGGTGTACTAGTAGTACTAGTGATCTGACAATTCGTTTTGGAGCTTTATATTTAAAAATTGTGCTTGCAGTCTTATGGATTAAGAGAGATGAAATTGATGGAAACTCAGTTGATTACGAAGTATTCAGTCGATAGAAAAATAGGACCTTAAATGAGTTAATTTTTAAAGCCATTTGTTTCCATAAGACAGGAAAATGACGAAGCCCCTGGCCGAATATAGATTTAAGTGCTTAAGCTACTTAAAAAGTAGTCGTAATTTTGATTGTAAGATCCGTTGTTACAAACATGAAAACGGCTTAATAAAAACGTAGTATAAAACAGTGTGCTATGGCGTAGCATCTCTTGGCGTAGTATGGCATCTCTTGTGAAATTATGCAAAAGAGATGCATTTACGAAAATCCCTTGTTTTTTAACATAGTGAACTCAATTTAATCTTCTGAAAAAATATACTTTGCAATTTTAGGTAACTAAAGGTACCGCCACTTTAAAGAAAATATCACCAAAAAGTTCAACTTTTGATTCTTTAAAATTTAGTACAACTCCCAAACAATGTCGTCCAGAAGTGTTTGTAAAGAAACAAAGATCTACCTTTGAATCTAAATCCCACTTACCAGATGTTAGAATTCAAATCGTATCACCTGAAAGTTTACCAGAAAAGGAACTGGGGTCATCAGAAATTCGAAAACAAAACAAATCGTTTCTACACGAAGCCAAATCATTAGACCAACAACTGAAACCAAAAGAGTTTCATGAGGCAGCAGCCAAGCTTACCAAAAAGAAAATCGTTAACTATTCCGATACTGTGGTGAAAATGAAAAATGTTTCACCGAAATATTATCAACACGATGAACAGCTACCAAATTTTAAAGTTTTGAAACAAATCGAAAGACAATCAGTCTCGAATTTGGACTTCAATAGACTTTACTCCGCAAGTAAAACAATCTTTAAGGATTGCTTTCCTCAATCGGAGGATGATTCACACAAGATGTTAGGGGACGAACTAACATTAAAACAAGCCAGAGAAGTTGATGAAGAATTTATAACATATGTGCTTCAACCATATAATGAAGATGTTAGGATGGACGATGACAAATGTAAAGAATCAGAAGTTGTACAATTTAGCTAGGATTGTGCGATCAATAGACATGGTACCTTAAATTAAACAATTTATCAAGGCAGCTCAACTTAATTTCAGGATTATACACATAAGAAGACAATCGAAGAGATTGTTAAGAATAAAAGAAGCTTTTAAGTGCAAAATACAACTACATTTTTTAGAAATTTAAAAAACAAACCAGATTATATGTTAAAAATTAAAATATATGTATAATGAAATTGTAGAAAAGAAATTATTTCGATAAAATTTCTATTTCTTCTAAAATAGAAATACAATTAATTAAAAAATAATAATTTTTTTCCATTAGTATGTGTAAATTCCATATGCTGACTGCCTTTTCAGAGGTATATAAAGTTCTTTCACCAGGAGATTTAAACATATGCCTAGTAAGTGGTCACAGCCTTACATTCGTTTTGAGAGGAGTCAAAATTTAAAGATAAAATATTACTTATAACTAACTTAAACTGGTTTTAACGATTCTAATTGTTGAAATTAAAAATCATGTAGTATAGCGAAAGAGATGTAATATAAATATGACTGTACACTGCTAAAAAAATTTATTAATAAACGAATCGCTTTGAATAACTTTTAATCTAATGATCAAATTTTTAAGTACTAAAAGACAAACTTAATAGTTCCTGAGGGTTACCTCAAATAAACTAATTAATTAGAGTAGACGATATTTCAAGTTTCTAAGTCGGACACAAAAGCTTACTTTCTCTAAACATACCTTTATTAATATCGATTATTATATCGATAATTTAATTCATTGATTAATATTTATTATATCGATTGAAATTTCAATCGATTTGGATTCCGAACTCTCAAAATATGCGTGGTGGCCGCAATTTGGAAAATATGGTCGCGATAATTTGATCAGGAAGACTGTAAAAAATTTGGTTCCCTTAAAGTTAATTATACTTTTTGCATATTTCGCCAAGCTTCGAGAAATGTTTAAGTGAATTAAAAACTTGTTGCACACAATTATAAAATTCTTTTATCTAGAGATATCAAGGCAGATATTTGCAAAGATATTCGCGGGCAGAGAGTAATTTTTAATTATTTATTATTTTTTATTGTTATGTTTTACAACAGTTAAAAAAAATTTGGGATGGTAAGAAATACATTTTTTAATATTATTTTTAAGAAAGTAATTCTGAATGGAAAAATGCAAAATTTGAGGGAAATCGGTCGAATTATTCGGGAGAAATTAAATTTTAAAAATACGAGTTCGATAGAATAGTTCCTGATGCACTAAAAAAAATTTTTTTTTAATTTTAAGAAAAATTTTACACAATCTTTGTAGTTTCAATCATAATTTCTTTTAGCATAAAAATCGAAATAATAGAAACAAAACATCTGTAAAGACTTAATTTTTTTCTAAAAGTGTTCTTTCTTTCGCTCCTGAACTTCAGAAACCTGAAATGAATAATTTTATTTTTTCCTTAGAATGATTTCAGACGATCCATTTTACAAAAAAAAAAATTTTCCTGCGACAACTATTACTACCCTTACTTTATTATGTCGCCATCTTTTGGAGTAAAATTGAGTTTTAATCATCTCGTATTTTTACGGACTAAAATTGCGAATCGTTTGGTTTTGGCACTTCGCATTGCATTCTTAAAGTTAACAGATTTTTCAAATTAAAAAAAAAAGTGAACACTATTCCTTTAGCCATTTTTGAAAACATTTCAGCAAATTTACTGATTATGGTTAATTTACTCAAGAAAAATTACATTTTTAGCTACAGCTTTTTTAATGAGCTTATTATATGCGATAGCAAAGATTTTGTTGAAAGTTTAATTAAAAACAATGTGTGATTTAAGCGTCTAAGTAATAATTCATTTTATTATGCAGAATTATTTACTGTCGAATAATTTATTTTCAATTATCATTTTTCCTCTTAGAGCATTTCTATAAAAAAAATCCATTGAGAATAGCAATTAGTGAAAGAAAAATTTAGTACATTGTCGTTTAAAATTTTATATTTTCTCAAATTATAAGAAAAATAAATGGGTGATCACAACACTTTGAGTTTTTCCGATCTGATTATAGTGCATGAGTTTAAACATTTTCAAATTATATAAACATATGATAAAGCATCTGCTTATCCTAAAAAATGTGTATCTATAGTCCTCTATGGAAGCATTTTGAAGAATTCAGCTTACTCTAATGAATATTTGTATTTGGGGAAATATTTGGGAAGTTTTACTTTAAATTTTGGCCTTCAATTAGCTACGGAGCCAAAACATTTGTTTCACTTTCAAATATAGTAGGCTACAGAATCATATTTCTAATTTTAAATATTTAAAATGCCTGTGAAACACTAAGAACTTAAAAAGTATTTTCCACTCTATTTTTGTAACACTCATTACCAATGTTAAATAGGTATCCGAATGGCAATAACAAATTTGTAAACCATTTTTATGGTTTTCATATTATTATTTTGTAAAACAGAAACGATTGCTGTCGATTTACCTATCTGATCGCAGAGCGTTTTGTTAAAACTTAACACTTTTCAAATTATGTAAACATGCAGCAAGTGCTTATCGTAGAAAAGTAATTAGGATTGTTAGAAATATTTGTGTGGTGCCCATTTGATATTGATTTCTAAGTCTACAGTATTGTAAAATATTTATTTTATAATTTTAATTGGTTTCTCCCCTTTTTAACTCGGAATACACAGTCAAAAAGATGGGAATCAATATTTGATTTGATTTGAATTCCTATGAATTGCCTTTCGTCAACCGCACATAGCACATTTCGTCAACCCATATAGCATTAAAAAAATTTCTGTTTTAATTCCAATACACAGCTGTTAGACTGAAAGACTAACAGCAATTAGTAAATTTCGTAAGTGTGTAAACGATAATATACAAAATCCCGGCAAGTGTGTACATAGACTATAGGCATTGTATACAATGCCTGATGTTTTCAAGCAAAGTATGATCTGTCAGAATTATTATAAATTTAACCTAGACATTACATAGGGTCTTAAATATAATGAAAAATGTCCTTTAGGTAAATTATGATAACAGGGTTTGATATAATTGTTACTTCGCTTTTTTTAAAAAGAATATTAATGAGTTGATGTCCAAAGAAAAGTAACATTTGCTTTATTCAATAAATCAATTTTTTTATGATATGAATTATATTTTAAACGATTTATTTGATTATTATTAATTATATATTTGATTATTATCATTAATTAATTAGAAAAAACATCAGTGTAGGAACGGGGGAGGAATGTAGTACACAGTAAAAAATTCTGGGTCAAATTACGGTAAAAAGTACTGGCACTCTGGGTGCATGATTCGTAAAATTTATTTTACCGTAAAATTCATTTCTTCCGCAAATCCATTTTTACCGTACTTTATACAGCTTATTTTTCTTTAATTATTTTTTGACTACAGTGATTTTACAGTAAATATTACTGTAAAAATTATGATATTTCAGATTTTTAATTTCGTAAAATTTTCTGTAAAAATAGATTTTTCGGTAAAAAGAACCGGCATCCTGATGTCAGTACATCTGGCCGTAATTTGATCTGGAATTTTTTACAGTGTATTTAATGGTCTTTTGCTTAAAAACAGTGTAGGGAATATCTGGTAATGGCACACACATATCTTAGTTATTTTCCCGGTTAATCCATTTATTATTATCAATACATCGAGATAACTAAACATATATGCTTTTTTAATTAAAACAAACTAAATAGTGTATGAATATACTTACTGTATCAAATTAATTTCAACTGGAACTGATAAATTATATTTGTACTACTTAGTGTCTGTTTGTTACTTGGCATTGTATACAAATTAAGTCATTATGAGAAATTTTTAATAATTTCATACATTGCGGGTGGCATGAAATATGACAGATGAAAAGTCAATGACTTCGTTTCCATTACGCTATAATATACACTATGATCTGTGACAATTTCATCTACCTTGATTGAGTATTGGCAGGTGTTGTATATTATCGTTATCATAAAATAGGAAAATCAACCATAACGAAAGTTTTATTACAGGACGATAAATGATCATAACTTAAAGCTATAAATTATGAATTTTATTGTACTTTAATTATTATTGTAATGATTTCTAAAATATTTTTATGTTTGTTTTGGTGTGCACACAAGATTAAGCAGATTTCATATTTTTAATCTTTGAAAGTAAAATCTTAATTTCTCATTAATTGTAATTTTTTCCCCTTATACAAAGAAAAATACTACAAAATTAGATTTTGGAAATCTAATTTGAAAAGTAAAGGAAAATTTAGCTAATTGGAAAACAATAAGCATGCTTTGATTCCATAGTGACCTCTGATAATTTTTGTGTTTGTTCTGGATTGTAAAATATAATGTTTAAAAAAATTTACCGAGATTTTGTATTTATAACAGTTGAAAATTAATCTTAATTTTTCAGCAATCATTTTATAACAGACTATTATGACAGTGACAGATTATAAACCTAATTATTTAAAATTTATTATAGTATTTGAAAACTTCAATATATGTGACGAAAACAAAAAATTTTATATACAAAATACTCCGTAATCGCATGGGGTAAAAAATTTATGCGTTTTTAGGGTAAGATACTTTATTTAATATTTAATATAATTCGTGTTCTAATATTGAATGACGTTGCTCAATTATTGAAACTGCAATCAATTAAAAACACATGAAATTTTTATTATAATACTTTTCTTTCTTTTTATTAAATTTCTGTTTGGTTTTTATGCATTTCATAACAAAAATATATGTCCAGTGTGCAAAATAAGAAACAGACCATTATGATTTCTTTTATTAAAATATTTATTTTGCATTTATGTTGCTCAACAAAAAAACTTTTTTATTTTTACTCTTTTTATTTTCCAAAATGAATGATAATAAATTACTAAATGTCTTTTCCTGCTGTTCTCGTCTCATATTATAATTTTTGAAAAAAATGTGCTATGTCTAAGATAGAGCGCATTTAAAATTTTTGCAGGGGGGGGGGTGAAGCACCTAAGTCTACGTACACCACTGTCTCCCTCTTTTATCTTAGATAGGTTTCTTGTGGTTCTAAGTAAAAGTAACATTAAGGGGTCCAAACTTTGGATCGCTCTCCTGTTATGAACCATGTTTTTCAGATTGGGTATATTTACCTACATTTTATACCCCTTTCTTTAGCG